CAGCAGCTCGTCGGCCCACTGCTTTCGGGCCCGCCCCCGAGCCCCCCTCCCGCGCGGCGCCGCCCGCAGTGGCCCTCGACCCCGCCCCTCTGGTTGGACGCGCTGTCTCCCGCGCGCCCGGCGAGGCTCGGGAAGCCGTGGATGTCCAGGGTTTCGACGCCACCCAATCGGAAACGGACAACCTGCATCGTTTGGTGGCGAGCCAGGCTGAGCAGGAGGCGGCCTCGCCCACGGGGGGCAGTCTGGTGTTTTTAGGGCCCCGCGGAGATAGCCCCGCTCTCGGTCGGGGGGGGCATCTCGGTACCCGGCACTCAGACCCTTGAGCAGCTAATTATTGTTGCTCCACCGTGGCTCAGTTCGGAGCCCCAGCGCCTGGGTCTCCATTCGGCTGCGATCGATGATGGGCGCTGCAGCAGCGCAGGGCGTCCTACGCGCACCAGCCGCGGCCGTAGCTGGCGGCCCTGCGTCCAGCCCTCGCGCGCTCCCGCACCTGCCGGAGGCGGGGGGCGCCATGGTCGCGGCCCTCATCTCGCCCCCCTGGGCTTCCCGGGCGCGCCTGGAGCATCGTGCATCTCGTCGGGAAGTGTTGTGCTCACGTCGACTATAGCGACGTTGGCGCGGCGCCTGGTCCCGCGCTGGCCCCTGCTGGATGCGCCCGAGGAACTCGCTTTCAGTTCATCTATAGCGACCGCGCCGCCTGGCAGACTTCTCGCGGCGAAAATGCCATCTGCCCTTGCGGCGGGCGCTCGCAAGGAGGCGTCCGCGGAGCATCGCGAGCGGCCGTTGGGCAAGGCTGATCAGGGGGGATAATCAAATTCACGCGGCGTCTAGAGGCACCATCCTTTGGACACCCTCCACGGGTTTCAGCGTCGATGGCGCGGCGGTTGCGGATCCGCTCTCGCCGCTCAGAGCGCTTCGACAAGCTGCGCGGAGGATGGGGAACAGGCCCCATCGGGGCCCGCAGGGCGTCCTCTCTCCTGCCGCCCCTGATTCCAGACTGGTGATTTCCGCGCCATCACCATCTAATTTCGGGGCAACGCGGCGGTCGCGGCCGATGGATTCACATGTGTCATGTTCGCACGATCTTGTTGTATGATATCTTTGTGTTCATGGAGCGGTCGGCGACCATCCCCTCGCCATTGCCATCCTTGCTCTCATTGCTCGACCTTCGCCCGGTTTCCGCCTCGTTAGAATTTTGCAGCGCGTTTAGCGGCGCGGCCAGTTGCGGCGCCCTCCCGCCGACGAGCGGGAAGCCAGGTTCACGCGTTCTGATTATTGCGCCAGCCTTTTTCGAAAAAGGGGCGCAAGACGTGGTTCGGCGGCGAGCCAGCCTTGCTGAAGACAGCACCGCTGGAGGAGGCGAGGCTGCCACATTGCTTTTTGACATGCGCATGTACTATGGCGCTGACCTCCAGGCGTTGGCCCTGCGCTGCCGCGAAACGAATTTGCCCCTCGGTGATTCGCACGCGCGCACTGCGGCGCATTCCCAGGCTCGGTGCGTTTTCTGCGGGGGGGGTCGTGGACGGGCCCTTCAGGGCCACCCGCGGAGCGGCGGCGGGGCGCCCCATGGCGACCGCGTTTATTCACGCCAGTGCTGTCCACGCGTCGGGCGCCCCCCGCCCCCCCAAGGCCGCGCGATTGATTTTTATTCATTGACGATGATGGCCCCCCTGCCACTGGGGCCTCCAAAGAAATTGTTGCCCCGCCCCCTACGGCGGCCGACGCCCCAGGCGCTGTCCTCGGAAATGGCGCCGGACTGGGCCCCCGCCAGGGCCACAGGGAAGAGGAGGAGGGCGACGACGACGAGGACAAAGGCGAGGCCGAGAAAGGGGGCGCCGGCATATCCTCGAGGGTCGAGCGCCGCCCAGATTGAGACCAGAGAGGGGATGCGAAACGCTTCGGGGCGCGCGGCGCGATCAGCTCGGCCTCGCCGCTCTGCCAGCGGTCGGCGCGCCTAGGGCTCCTGTCTCGGCCGGGCCCGCCCCTGCAGGTATTCGCGGCACGGGTGCGAACGGGGCGTCGGGCTTCAAGCTCCTCTTTCTCCGTCAGATCGGGGTTGAGGCCCCCGAGCCGAGCGCGGCGGGGCGCCCCCGCGCTGCCGCGATGCTCTGCCGCGGCTACCCGCTGCGGGCGGCCGCCGTCGCCCCCGCGTGCGAAGGGCTAATGGGGGCTTGGATTACGCGCCAAGGATTGCACCCTCCTTTGCCGCCGTTCGCCACGGTGCGCTCTCTCTCTCTCTCTCTCTCTCTCTCTCTCTCTCTCTCTGGCCATGCCTTCGCTCGCGGTTTTGAGAGATGAGCAGGGGGGGGGGGGGGGGGCATTCGCCTCGCCCAGGTATCCCTCGCCGCGGTTCGGCCCCTCCGGAAGCGCGCTGCCCCTGGGGCCCTCGCGTAGGATTTAGGGGCTCAATGTTACATGGGTCGCGCGTGCACGGGCGATGTTTTGTCTCGGCGATCTTCCTCGGAAAGTGACCCAGTTCCAGCGCGGCAGCATCGGGGCCGTTTTCCGCGACGCGGCGCGGGCCGAACCGAATTCTGGATCCACGGGGCAACTCATCGAAACCCATTGCGATCTGTTTGAGACACCTCAGGACACACTGAGGCCTGGGCCACGGCCCCGCCCATCCCGCGGCCATGTTTGGATCGAGCTGGCGCCGGCCCCGGCGCGCGCATGGGCGGCCGAGTCCGACGACAACGCGTCGCGCTTCGGTCTCACCCCGCACCCTGCCGAGCATTTTGATGCACCTCTGTCCGAGGAAGGAGTGGCCGCCGAGATTTGCAAGGAATATGGATATTTGGCTTTCGACTGAGATTTCGCTGGCCAGATATACGTTGGCGGCTCCTGTTTGCTCCGTCGAGTGACGGAGTTCACTCGCGCTGGATGATGGGCCGTCGCGTTGCTCGGCCCTTGCGCCAATGTGGATGCGGTTCGCGTCGGAAGTCCCGCCTGGCCCCCGTGCCCCCCGGACCCCTCAGAGTTCTGAATCCCATGTTTTCTGAGCTGTTGCTCGATTTACAGCGCAGGTTTCTTGCTCTCGCTCTGACTGTCCGGATGTGGTCGATTATGCTTCGTTGTCGTGGGCCACGCAATCTAGTCATGAAGCCCCCCGCTGGTCGCCCAGCTTATTCGCGCCAACCTTCCGTCTTCAACTGTGAACCAAGTGAAAGCCCACCACCCAGACGTCGAGGGTCGGCGGCCGCGCGCTGCCCCCCCTTTCGAACTTGTTCTGGAATTTCTAAGCTCGACCCTGCTCTTTTGGAGGCGAGACAGCGCGGGTGCATTTCCCTGGCTCGCCGTGATGTTTCGCGGCTGCAGAAGTCTTTGTCGCCGCGGCAGCGCCGGGGATCTTCTCGAGGACTGCAAGAAGGCTTCTCGTAATAGTGGAACTAAGTCTTTGCAGTCTCCGATTTCGGCGGGCGCCCACCCGACGCTTGAATAATGTTGCTGTCGAGCGAGGTCGTTGGCTCGATCGGCCTGCGTCAGGCAACGTCGCGCAGCCGTCGGTTCCACCTCCTCGCGAAGACGAAGAGAGAGCGCGCCTGCCCAGCTGTCGCCCGCCCAGCAGCCGCCCCGGGTCGCCTCAGCCCTCTGCGAAGAAAAGGGCCCCCTGCCCTGCCTCTCTTCTTGGCCCCGAGGCACCCACCGCCAGGGCTTCTCCCTCCGCAAGTCGGCCTGGTTCTGCGCGGTCGCCTGCCAGGGTGAAACGGCTTGTTGCGGGCCAAAATCAATCCCCCACTCCTCGTGTTTATTCTCTCCCTATCCCCCTCCCCCGTCTCATTCCTCCCCCATTGCCTGCCAGGGGATTTTCCATTCTTCCCAGAATTCCCCCAAACTCCATACTGCGTTCCTCTTCCTCCTTCTCCTCCGTCGTCTCCCTTCTCCCCACAGCTGGCCGCGCATGGGTTTAGAAGTGCTTCCCTCGTCGCCGTTGAGGCCAGGGCGGCGCCGGCAACTTGCGAGGCCAGCCGCCCTTCGGCATTGGGCCGCACCGCGCCCCCCCTTCTCGGCATTGGGCATGCTCGCGGACTTGTGAGCCCGAGCGTGCCAGGGGCTTCAAAATCGCCAGGCGCCTAGGGCGATGGCGCGGCCGCCCCCTCGGGGCCTCGATGTGGCCCCGGTGCCTCGCTGTGGCCTCGGAGGTCCGAGGTGCCGGACCGTTCCGTGGCCTGGCACGCGACGCGCAAAAACACCGGCCTCCTGTCATGCCCGCCCGCCGCCCCCCCTCTGGAAACAGCGTCGCCAGCCCGCGAGGGGGATGGGAGGGAGGGGGGGGAAGAGGATGGGAAATGGTGAGGAGGAAGAAAAGACAACATATGAAAGAAAGGGAGAGGAAACGAACGATGGATGGAGGGAGAACTGGAGGAAGAAGGGGGGACAGGAGGGACCGGAGAGGGAAGGTGGGAGGTAGCGAGGATGGAGGGAAGACATGCTGCTTCGGACATGCTGTTGGGACTCCGGTCCCCAGGACGCGATCACACGCCGGCGTGGTCGAGCAACCGCCCCGTTGGGTTTACGGCCGCCACGCCACTGGCGCAGGACGTCACCGCGGTGCCGCCCGTCCTTCCCCCCGAGGACGGGGCAGGGACATGCGGGAGGGGAGAGAAGGAAGAGGAAGGAACGCGGAGAGGGGGACGGGAAAGGCCGCGATCGAGGGGGAGGTGCGGGCAGGGCGGAAAAAAAGGGGGGGTCGTTCCCACTGGGCCACGCGATTCCCAAGCGTGGATAGGGTGTCTAGCGCGGGCGGTTGCCGAGGCCGCGCCTGGCAACCGCGTCCCGCGCGGCGCGCGCCCCCCCTTAACATCGGGGGCGCCCCTGGGGACGAAACCGCCCCCCGCCTCCAGGGAGGGGTTTGCCAGGCGAGCGGGCCGGCAACCCCCAGTAAGGAGGGGAAAGGAGAGGCGCGAACGGCAGAAGGGGGGGGGAAAGAAGGGGCCACGAGAGAACGGAGGGGAAGAACGGTGGGGAAAGGAGAGGTGAGAACGGAGGGAGAGAGCGGCCAGGAGCATGGCGGCGTCATCGCCATGATGGACCTGCTGACCGCGGACCTCGATAAGGAAGCGCGGTGCCCCGGCTCGCCCTCTTCGGGACCTCTCTGCCTCGTCTTGTTTTAATTGTTTGTTTGTTGGTCGTCCGCTTCATTTGTTCTGCCTTCCTCCTCTTCCTCCCATCCTTCTCTTGTTCCTCCGCCTCTTCCTCCTCCTCTTCCGCCTTTCCCACCTCATCATATGTTAAGTATTCCTCGTTCCCCCCGTCCCCATCCTCATCATCCTCCTCGTTTTCTTTTCCTCCTCTTCCTCCTCCTCCTCCTCCTCTCCCTCCTCCTCCTCTTCCTCCTCCTCCTCCTCCCTCTACTCTCCTCCTCCTCCTCCTCCTCCTCCTCCCCTCTTCCCTCCTCCTCCCTCCTCCTCCCTCCTCCTCCCCTCCCCCCCTCTCTCCTCCTCCTCTCACTCCTCCTATCTCCCATTCCATCCTCCTCCTCCTGACTCCTCCGCCCTCCATCTCCCCCTTGCGTCCCCTCCTCTTCCCTCTCTGCCCCTCCTCCTCTCCTCCTCCTCCTCCTCCTTCCTCCTCATCTCCTCCTCCTCTCCTCCCCTCTTCTCTCCTCATCCTCTGTCCTCTCTTTCCCTCCCCCCCTCTGTTCGGCCTAACCCTCCTCTCCTCTTCCTCCTCCTCTCCTCCTCCTCCTCCCTCCTCTCTCCTCCTCTCCTCTCCTCATCCCTCCCCTCCCCCTGCTCCCACTTCCTCCTTCTCCCACTTCCTCCTCCTCCCCCTCCTCTCATCCTCCTCTCCTCTCCTCCTCCTCTTGGCTTTCCCTCCCCTCCGTGGGGGAGTAGGAGGGGAGAAGGAGGAGGAGGAGGAGGAGGAGGAGGAGGAGCGGAGGAGGAGGAGGAGGGAGGAGGATGAGTGGGAGGAGAGGGAGAAGGAGGAGGAGCTGGAGGAGGAGGAGGAGGAGGAGAGAGAGGAGGAAAGAGAAGGGAGGGAGAGGGAGCAGGAGGGGCGGGAGGGAGGGAGGGAGGTGGAGGAGGAGAGGAAGAGGCGATGGAGGAGGAGGAGGAGGAGGAGAAGAGGAGGAAGAGGAGGAAGAGGAACAAATGAGGAGGAGAGGTGGAATAGGAGGGGAGGAGGTGGTGGAGGAGGAGGAGCAGGAGGAGGAGGAGGGGTGGCCGCGGACCATCCTTCTCTACGCCGGCATCCTTCCGCTTATCCTCCTTCCCCTCCTCTTCGGTCCTCTCCTCCTTGTCATCCATTGTCCTCCTACTCCTTCTCCTACGATTACTCCTAGTTCTGCGGCTGCCTCCTCCGCCACCTCTCGTCCTCCTCCTCCTCCTCCTCCTCCTCCTCCTCCTCCTCCTCCTCCTCCTCCTCCTCTTGCCTCCTCCCACCTCCCACCATTCACCCCTCCTTCCTCCCTTCTCCCTCCTCCCTCTTCCCCTTCCTCCTGTCTACCCGCCCGCAGGAGATCTCTCAGATGAACGTCGACGAGAAGAACTCGCAGGCCGAGTACGAGGCTTTCATGGCTGAGTCGTCCACTAAGAGGGCCACCGACTCCAAGTCGCGGCCTCAGCCCGCGCAGGCTGAGGAGGAGTCTCCTCTTGCGAGCCAGCGGGCAGGACCGATGGGGGTTGCAGTCAACCCAAACAGGGGAGGATACGGAGGGGGGGAGGAGGAGATTGGAGGACGGATGCACTGATTTGATGCGGCAGTCTTGCATCCTTTGTTGGACATTGTTGCCTCCTGCAGCCCCCTCTTCCTACCTCCTGCTACCGCTCGTCCCCTCATCCCTGCTCCTCTTCCTCATCCCCCTTCTCCTCTCCGCTTGCCTCCACTTCCTCGTCGTATTGCTATCTCGCATCGTCTTGCTCCTAGTGTTTGGGGGTGGGGCACTGGGGGCACCGTCGCGCCCCGCCGCCAGCCGACCGCCCGCTGGAGTCGGCTCGCCGATCAAAAACGATCTGGAGGGGCTGTGGTCAGAGCGACAGGAGCAGCGTAGGGGGCCGCAGCGTCGGGGGCCGCGTTCTGGGACGCGGCTCCTCCAGAGGACGGGTCGGCCGCGGCTGCCCCGACGCCGGGTGACGTGGGCCCGGGCAGGGGACGTGGGCGGGGAGGGGGAGATGCTACGGGGAAAAGCGAGAGCGACGGGGGCAAGGAGGAACGAAGTTCGACCAGAAAGCGCGCAACTGAAGATTTCTTAATAGGTACACACCAGCTCTTGCGCATTCCGGAGTTAGGAGCCGAGGGCCAGGGGGCGGGGCAGGGCGGGGGCGGGGAGGGGGCGAGGGAAGGGAGGGCGGAGGAGGGGAGGAAGGGACGGAAGCGAGGGCCAGGATGGGGAGAGACAGGCAGAAGGACTGGGAGAGGAGGGCGGCGGGAGGAGGGAGGGGGCGGGGAGGGGGAGGAGGGAATGACAGGAGGGTGCAGGAGCGGGGAGGGGGAGGAGGAGGAGGAGGAGGAGGAGGAGGAGGAGGAGGAGGAGGAGGAGGAGGATTTTGCACCGAGCGCTCCAATGAGCTCAAGGGGAGGGGGAGGGGGAGGGGGAGGGGCTCCTCCGCTGCAGGCGGGGCGGGCCTTGGCCTGGTTGAAAGCCTTGGCCCGCGCGCTCGCGCCTGGCATGAGGCCCCTCTCCAGCTTGCTGAGATTCTCGGCCCCCTTCTTCGAGAGGGGACGACAGGGCTGGGCCAGCAACAGGATCGATCGGTCCATACCGAGGCCCCCGCAAGTTGTACACGCCCAGCAATCGGCGTGCTCGAAAAAGCGGGCGGCGTGGGACGGGTGGACAATCTGATTCCCAATCTGGAGCGGGGCGGACCTGGAGGAGGAGGGGGCAGCACCAGAATCGATTGGGTTGCACGGGGTCGCGAGCCATTCCACAACCAACCCCCTCCTTGGAGGGCTTCTGGTGGCACAACCTGCAACTAAACCGAGATTCCAAAAACTGAAGGCTGTTCTTGTGAGGGGAAATCTGGACCGCTTTCTCTAACTTACTCAGGCCAGCTTTCCGAACTCCGCTGAGGGGCTTAGCCCTCTCTCTCTGACTGCGACTGTCGTGGGGGGCAGCAGCAATGAGAGTAGAAGCAAGACGGAGACGGACCTGCTCGGCTAGAGTGTCGAGAGAGGAGGAGGAGGAGGAGGAGGAGGAGGAGGAGGAGGAGGAGGAGGAGGAGGAGGAGGAGGAGGAGGAGGAGGAGGAGGAGGAGGAGGAGGAGACGAGGAGACGAGGAAACGAGGAGACGAGGAGACGAGGTGACGAGGAGACGAGGAGACGAGGAGATGAGGAGACGAGGAGACGAGGAGACGAGGAGACGAGGAGTCGAGGAGACGAGGAGACGAGAACACGAGACGAGGGGAGGATGGCGGAGGTGGCGGTGGGGGCAGAGGCGGAGGAGGCGGAGACGGTGGAGACCGAGGCGGAGGAGGTAGGGGAGGGGGAACTCAAGGGGATGGGAGGGTGGAGGAGAGGAGGGTGGAGAGGGTGGGAGATCAAGTTAGGGGCGCCCGTGCAACATTTGACATCCAACCCCTCCCGCCCATCCCTTCCCATTGCGTTGGTTCCTTTCTATATAGTCTGCCCATCTGTTCGACTGTAGGTTAAGCAGAAGCTTCGACACTCATGTGGGCATTCAATTCGGCTCCGTAGCCAGTGGCTCAAGGAGCCCCTGGTGAGACGGGTGGTTCGGTGGGCCTTCAGGAGGAGGAGGAGGAGGAGGAGGAGGAGGAGGAGGAGGAGGAGGAGGAGGAGGAGGAGGAGGAGGAGGAGGAGGAGGGGGGGAGGACGAGCCAGAACAGGAACGGTTGGAGGAGCACGAGGCGCAGAAGGAGCAAGGCACGGCGGAGGAGGAGGAGGAGGAGGAGGAGGAGGAGGAGGACGGCAACGGCGAGGGAGTCGGATCCAGAAGTGGGGCGCTGGGTCGGGAGCACTGCTCTGCACGGCGGGAGCCCATCTGCAGTTCCAGGGTGTGGCCAGGGGCTGCAGCGGGCACGCTTACGTATATTCTGAAAGGGCCCCCCGGACGTTCCGACCGATCAAGCCACACCGCGAACTGCCAGCACGGAATCTCTGGCGTGTGCCTGTGCCTCGGCATCGCTCGGACGTGTGCGTGTTTTCTTCGGCGAGGACCATCGAGGAGCATCCTTGATCATTTGGCGAAAAAATCCACGCACGAAACCGACAAAAAACACAGAATGGACGTCCGAGCGATGGCGAGGTGCACGTGAAGACACCTCGGGAGACGGGGCAGGAGGCCAGCTGGACAGAGCCTGGGGGTGAGGGATCGGCCGCGCGCAGAGCGGGGGTTTTGGGGCAGGGCGGAGGCCTTCTTGGGAACACCCCTGCTCCTTAAAGGGCGCGGGCCTGATCCACACTCCGGGTGTCTTACGAAGCGTGGGGGGGTACCCCCCCGACGGGGGGGCCAACCTCCCCTCGTCGTCGCGCCGCGGCGAGGGTCGGAGCGCCTTCGGCGCGCGGTGGCTGCCCGCGACGGGGGTCGACGTGGGGCTGTCGGCGGGGGTGACGCCCCCCCGACGCTTAGTGAGAAACTCGGAGTGGATACAGGGCCGGCGCCTTTTAAGGAGCAGCCTCGTTCTAAGAAGTCCCCCCCCTTCCCTCCACGCCCTTGTGCGCGAAGGCAGAACAATGAGCGCAGCACTCGCGTTGGGTAATCGCACCGGCGGCCGGCTGGAAAGTCGCGTCCTGCTGCTGCCCCCAGCGCCCGAAGGCCCCCGCACACCACCACAAAACCCCGAGGATTCCCCCACTTTGGTCCCAAAGCATCCAGGAATCCAAGAAACGAAATTTCCCTCTCCTGCCCCTCCTCCTCCCCCTCCTCATGCTCTCTCCTCCTCCTCCTCCTCCTCCTCCTCCTCCTCCTCCTCCTTCTCATCCTCCTCCCCCTCCCCCTCCTACTCTTTCTCCTCCTCCTCCTCCTCCTCACCACCCTTCTCATGATCCTCCTCTTCGTGCTCTCTATTCCTCCTGCTCTCCCCGCCTTCTCCTCGTCCTCCTTCTGCTGCTCCTGCTCCTCTTCCATGCCTTCTCCTTGTCAATGACGAACTCCTCCCGGCGCACCCCGAAACGTGTCGGTAGGGTGGATCAGGAGTATCGTTTGAAATTGTTTCACCATCTACGGCCCTGAAATGTTGAAGCTGATCGAGCTTCACGGATGGCGAGTCGTTTTTAAGATGCGGTTCGCGTTTTAGCGCCAGGCGTTCTTGTTTTGTATGCAACAAATTCACCGGTGGAGGGCGAGTCGTTTTCAAAATGTGGTTCTCGCTTCAGTGCCGCGCACCTTCGTTTTGAATTATCCCAGTGCGACCCTACCTAGGAGTTGAAACCCCTAGGAAAGCAGCATTAGTAGTGACAGTAACGCTAAGCTAAAGCTAAGCTGAAGCTAAGCTAAAGCTAAGCTAACGCTAAGCCACACCTAAGCTAAAGTTAAGCTAAAGCTGAGCTAAAGCTAAGCTAACGCCAAGCTAACTCTAAGCTAAAGCTAAGCTAAAGCTGAGCAACAGCTAAGCTAAAGCTATGCTAAAGCTAAGCTAAAGCTAAGCTAAAGCTAAGCTAAAGCTAAGCTAAAGCTAAGCTAAAGCTAAGCTAAAGCTAAGCTAAAGCTAAGCTAAGGCTAAGCTAAGTGTAAGCTAAAGCTAAGCTAAAGCTAAGCTACAGCTAAGCTCAAGCAAAGCTAAAGCTAAGCTGAAGCTAAGCCAAACGCTAAGCTAAACGCTAAGCGAAAAGCTAAGCGAAACGCTAAGCTAAAGCTAAGCTAATGCCAAGCTAAAGCTAAAGCTAAAGCTAAAGCTCCCAGGGGACTGGGTGGAACCGCTCCCAGGGGACTGGGGGAACCGCCCGGGGCGCTTTGCACTGCCCGGCCCCTTTAAGCTAAGAGAGTAAGAACCCTTCTAGGCAGAGCCTAGGTAGGGAACAAATGCAAGAGTTTCGCGGTTGAAGTGCGGGCCGTTTTCTAAATGTGGGCCTTGCCAGAGCGCCGCGCATATTCGTCAACAGTTTGCGAGAGCTTCACGGATGGAGGGCAGTCATTTTTCAACATGTGGTTCTCGTTCAGCGCCGCGTTCAATCGTCTTATGAGTTTGCAACAGTTCGAAGGATTCTGATGTTTGACCTCCCAGAAATAATGTTTTGGCACGATGTAGGATTGTCAGGGCGCAGCAGTCACGTTGACTTGCGGCGCTGAAGTCCCAGGAATGGTGTTCTGCCGCGATCCAGGATGGTCAGGACGCAAAAGTAATGTTGATTCGCGACGTTGAAGTCCTGGTAATCGTGCTTTGGCACGGCTCAAGATTCCTTTGGTGTTCGCCACAGCCGCTCACCTCTTGTCGTTTTGTGAGGCGACAGGGTGGAGAAGGAAAATGCTGAGAAGGAGGAGGAGGAGGAGGAGAAGGATAAGAGGAGGAGCATGAGAAATCTTGAGTTGATCATTTCTACCATACCCCTGGCCTTCGCCAGCCGTTCGGAATACTTCCCGGAGTGTTCTCATCCCTGATATGGTTTTGATGGCCTTGGAGTCTTCAGATGCCCCGACGGCTCGACATTTGAGATTAAACGCTGGGAGGACAACGAGGAGGACGAGGGCGCTAGGTGCGTCATCGATTATAGAGGGTCTTCGATCTTCGGACGCTTCTCGCCAAGTTCGGCATTCGGAGGCGTCGTTCGGGCGTCCCGATTGTCACAGATCTAATGGTCTGCAGTCAGGCCCCTTGGGGCGGGACTGCCAAGGGAGCAGCCGATGCGTCGAAGCGGTTGGAGTGCGAGCTATGTGCTCGGCGTCTGGGGGAGTGTATTCCCCGACGCGAAGCATGCAAGGAAGGACCAAGTGGAACAGCATCTCAAAGACGAAGCAGGTGCGCGTGGTGTACGCAAGGGCCTCGGGCTCACAACTCGCAGTTGGCAGGCGTGTCAGTGCAGCGGAGCATGCCAGAAGAAGTGGCTGGTGCCGGCGTTCTCCGTGTCCCTCAGCCGTGTCGCGCGCGACGAGGACAAGGCATTCTGAAGTGCAGGGCGTGCAAAGGATGCCCGTTCGAACGGCAAGTTGCGGAACCGAATCAGCAATAGTGCCAATCGTACCAAGCTCCGTGGAAGTCGGATCAGGAAGGGAGAGAAAGAGCGGGAGGACGAAGCCGATGAGAATAAGAAAGCGGAGAAGGAGGGAGTGGGTAAGGAGGAGGAGAAAGATGAGGAATGGGAGCATGGGGAGAGGGAGGAGGAAGATGAGGCAGAGGAGGAGGAGGAATAAGAGGGGAAGGAAGAAAGTCATTGTTTGGTTCATGGGACCTAAGGGTCTTGAGGGGCGTTGGTTGGGGCAATTGAGCGCAGCTCCCGCGGCCAACATGCACGGGGGAACTGCGCGGGCTCCCTGACCGCGAAACCTGTCACGGCCTTCGGTCCGTCCCTGGAGGGTGTCGGGTCAGTGTCTCGGGGATGCGTCGTGCCGTCTCTTCGGGGCGTTTGCGGGGGACGGGGGTGGCAGCGTCAGGGTCCTGAGGGATGCTTCTTGGGGGAAGTGTATGCTCCGCGGCCGACATTGTCAGCGTGTTCCGTGCACGCATGGGTAAACGGGCGAAGACCCACGCGCCCAGACGGCCAGCATGCGTGAAGCCACCAGAGGAATGATTGTCGAATGGCCTTCGGCCCATCCCGCCACCTTTCCTGGGTAGTGGGTCAGAAGCCAATCGGATAGCTGATGGGGTCTCGTGGGAGGCCTCTCGGGGGCGTCTTGGAGTTAGTTTGGGGGCTCTTGGGGGCCTCCTGGGGGGGGTCTTGGTGGCGCTTTTGGGCCCTCTTGGCGTTTCCTGTGGGCCTTTGGGGGCCGTTTGGGGGCTTCCTGGGGCTAACTTGTGGCGTACTGGGGCGGAAGGCTCGAAATGTCCATTCGGGTTCCCCCTCTGGGCCTTCTCGTGGGGCCGTCTTGGGGCCCCTTCGGGCCGTCGTTGAGCCCTCGTCGGAGTTGCTTGGGTGATCTTGGACGTCGTGAAAACCAAAGAGGCGAACATGGCGAACACGCACGTTTTCCCAGAATGGAATGGGGCGATGGTTGTGTCTTTGGGCCTTCTTGGGGGGCCTGCTGGAGGCTGCTTGGGGGCATCCTGGGCTGTCAGGAGTCCATGTCTGGCGTTTTCGAACGATCTTTCTGCGACTCCAGGCTTCGTGAACCGTCTTGGAGGCCGTTTGGGACACTCATGGCCCGTGATGGGGCCCTCTGTGCCCCCACGGCGCGTTCGTGCCGGGGTCACCCAGGGTCAAGGGGGGGTCAAATTGCCCGTTTGGGGTCCCTTGGAGGGATTATGGGGAGGACGAATCTCACGCGCCAAGAGACCCACAAGTGGTCAGCGAACTGTCAGACGGTTGGTTGTCTTCCAACTGGGCACTTCCTTCAGTGAAGATACATGAATATAGATCTTTGTAGGAACCTGGGAAAAGGGAACTTGGAGGGAGGGTGTATTGCAACATCGTTGATGGGTCTTGGGTTTGCATTGGTCCTCCTTCTCCTCCTCCTCCTCCTCCTCCTCCTCCTCCTCCTCCTCCTCCTCCTCCTCCTCCTCCTCTCCCTCCTCCTCCCTCCCTCCTCTCCCTCCTCCTCCCTCCCTCCTCTCCCTCCCTCCCTCCCTCCCTCCCGCGAGTAGGAGGCCCGCGTCGCGCCAGGTCGATGGAGGAGAAGGAGGGGCAGAAGGCGGACCTGGAGGCCGAGCTGGTGAAGCTGGAGGGGGAGGTGAAGAGCAGCACCAAGGACGGCCGCTCAGCGGCCCGGCGCGAAGAGGTTCTTCCTTATATAGCGCCCAGGGAACTCGTAGGCTCACTTGACTTCGCGCTGGTCCCCTGCCGAGCCCATCGCCGACGGAGGCCCCGCGGACACAAGAAAAGATCTACAAAGCACGTCGAGAACTACCCGACCCGACGTTCCGTGGCCGTTGTCCTGCCGCGCCGCCCTGTCCAGGGCCAGACGCGCCCGACCCCGATGGCCGCGGCGCTGGCGCTCGCCCGCTCGTCCTGGCCCCCTCCTCCCCCGCGCACAAGGTCCCGCTCGTCCCTTCGGGGAACATCGAAAAAACACGCGTGGAGCCCTTACCCCTCCAAACCCAAAATTCGGGTCTTCGGGTTGGGTTGGGGTGTTCTGGTAGGTCGTCAGGATCAGCCCCCCCCCCCGGTGGGCAGCGGGAGCGGGGCTGCCCAAGATCGAGGCCGAAGGGTCTCTCGGGTTTTTTGTTCGCGCTGCGCGGTGGCCTCCCGACGCCGAGCCCGCCACCCGTGGCGCGATCCGCTGCACGCCGGTCTGCCCTCGGCCGCCGGGGGGGGCAGAGGCCCGTGGCGCAGAAGCCGAGCGGAGGCCGTGGTACTCCTCGGCCGCCGGGTGCACGGTGTTTGGGACGGCCACCAGAGGCGGAGGAGGAGGAGGAGGAGGAGGAGGAGGAGGAGGAGGAGCAGGAGGAGGAGGAGGAGGAGGCGGAGGAGGAGGAGGAGGAGGAGGAGGAGGGGGAGGAGGGGGAGACAAGGAGGAGAAGGAGGAGGAGGAGGAGGAGGAGAAAAGGAGGAACGGGAGGAATGGGAGGAGGGGGAGGAGCAGGAGGAGGAGGAGGAGGACCCCGCCCCCTCCCTGTTCGGAGGAGGAGGAGGAGGAGGAGGAACCTAGGCCACCTGCGGCGCAAGCTGGTCCACGCCGACAAGGTGCACAACCGTCCGATCGCACTCACCACACCCCAAGCCCATGCGTCTCCCAGCGGCGGCACGAACAGCAAGTGCGCATTCCCTGGGGTTGCCACGCGTCCACTGGCATCGATACTGGACAGCATGAAGATTAGGCCGCAGCCGATGCTCCTCCGCCTGCTGCACCCCACTTTTCACATCGCTGCTCATCTCAAGTTGTCTAGCCTCGCCTGCACATCGTAGCCTCAACGTAAAGACACGAGAGGAGCTTTGCGACTCGGCCTCCTTCCCATCCTCATCGTGTCCTTCCCTGCTCTCTCGGCCCCCCCCCTAAACAAAAGAACCTGCGCTGCGTTGAACCGCCGCCCTCCTCTCCCCTCGTCTTACTCCCTTGTCCTCCTCACTATCTTCGCCCTCTTTCCTCCCTTCTCCTCTTCTCCCTCCCTCCCTCCCTCCCCTCATCGTCCTGTTTCCCCTCCCCACTCCGTCCCCCCTCTCCACCCGGAGGAGCTGATGACCAAGGCCACGACCATCAAGGACGGGGTGCGGCCCGCGCTGCGGCCCCTCCTCCCCTCCCCCGGCCGACTGGTTTGCAGCCCAGGACCGTGGTGCCTCCACGTGCCACTGCAAAGGTATTTCAGATTTCGTAATAAAAGGGAGGGGGTCTGGACCCTCCAAGACAAGCCATTTCAGACCTCCCCCGTGGGAGAACCCTCCAAAACATCGTCCCCAGACCCCCCCAAGATAGCCTGGAAGAGACCCCCCCCCGAAATGAGACCCCCCTCCTTTTATTACGAAATCTGGAGTATGTGAGCATGCGCGCTTTTTTATTGCACGCATGGGCTCTTAGACGTGTGTGGGCCGGCCGTTGCTCTCCGATCGGTTCTAGCATAGCCCTTCTGGGGCAGCACCTCAGCCCATCCGGACACGTCCGAGCTATCGTGCTCGAGTCTCAGCTCTGCAACTCTTGCGCAGTGGCAGACGAGGTCCACCCTGCTCCTGAGGGTCAGCCCCACGATAGCCCCGCTATCCTTGCGCGATCTTCCAGCAACCTGCGCCAGCGAGCTGGGCGCCCCGGGCGCGCACCGAGTCGGCCGCGGGCGACTGTGGATGGGCTGCGACAGGGTCGCGGGGAACGCACCGCGAGGCAGATCCCGTGCAGTTGTTCAACGCTCCTCTCGTTTTCAATGCTCCCCTTGGGCATCATGGTGTCGCTTCGTCGCTGGGCTGTCCGATCTCTTCCGCCTCCATGATAACATGAATCTGGCGCGACCTCAATTAGGGGAATGCGTTGCTTAGCCTTGCACTGACTTGCGTTGCTTTGCATTAATTTGCATTGCTTGGCATTGCCTACCATTGCTTGGCGTCGCTGGGCGTTTATTTGCAGTTCTGCTAGGCGTTGCTTGACATTGCTTGGCGTTCCTCGGCATTGTCTGGCGCTGAGTGGCGTTGTGTGGTATTGCTTGGCATTATGTGGCGTTCCTTTATATTGCTTGGCCTTAGGGTGCATTGCTAGGCATTTCTCGGCATTGCTGGGCATTGCTGTGCACTGTTTGGTATTATTATTGGTATTGCTTGGTGCTGTTTGGCATCGCTTGGCTTTGCTTGGCAGTGCTGGGCTGTGCTTCTGGCATTGCTTGGCGTTGCTTGGCATCGCTTGGGTGTGCTTGGCATTGCTTTGCTTTGCCTGACATCGCATTTATTTGCATCGCCGTGTATAGATCTGCATCTATTGGCATATGTTCGGCACTGCTGGGCACTGCTGGGCATCGGCTGGCATGGCAAAGGAAGAGACACGTAACCCTGGGCATCGCCACTGCAGAGAATTTCGGGGCTCGAGAGACGGGGGCCAAGGCAAGCGGGACTCGGCCAGAGCGCAGGACCTTGCAGGGATCCCGCAGAGCCAGGGGTGCACCGACCTGGGCCTTGGGGGCCGGGGTGTAGGACCCTCCAGGATCTTGCGCAGCCTCTTTTACGGGTTCCCGCTCCAGTTCCAATCCTGGAGCCGTTTTTGTTGCCGTTTCCGGTCGCCTTTTTTTGCCGTTTCCATTTTCAAGGGACACTTGTTCGAAAACGGTGAAAAAACGATCCTGCCGTTTCCGGGGCCCACTAAGGTGCTGACTAATCCTAAAACGGAAATAACGAGATGTATGAAAACAGTCCCCGGGGACTGTTCTTAGGCACGCGACACAGCGGTAGTGATGAGGAGAAGGCAGGAGAAAACGACGACGACTGGACGCTGCGAGATGAAATTGGGGGGATCTCATGGCGGGGGCCATGATATCTCCCCGGGTTTCATGGCGCCTCTTCTCATTCCAACACGTCCCGGGCCCCCCCCATTTGGGCCGCGCACATGCCCGCGGCCATGATTTGCGCCCCCCCTCTTGGAGACGGCCCCCTCTTGGAAGCCCCCGGGCCTCGCGTCCACTGGTTGTTCAAAGCCAAGTAGGAAGCATCTGGGCAAGCCTAACTAGAGGAAAAGTGCCTATGGGTCGTTGTCAGCCGGTATTTTTGGAGTCCCAAGCTGCTCCAGCCGCCTTCCTACTTCAAGAGACGAGCGGTCTTCCCTACTCCCTCCTCTTCAGGGGGCGGGCGGGAACCCAAGCTACTTCCAACGCCTTCCTACTTCATGTTCTTACTTACGTCTTCCGACCGACGGGTATTGCCACAGTGACTCAGGAACCACTCGCGGCTTCGGTAGCAAATCATGGGAGTTTTGTATGCCCTCGCGACTCCGTCTTTAGAGTCCACTGGCGTCGATTAGTATTTGGTAGCCAGTGAGATAGTTAACGATGACCGTCGATTCGCGTGGAGCTAGCGTCGATTAGCGCCCGCTCTCGGGAGCCGAGAAGATGGCATGGGAGATTCCCACGAGTTGCCGCGGAACACGGGGTTCGCTCCCCACCCCCCCAAGCAAGCCGGACGCAGGCCCGGGCGGTTCAGCACTTTCTAGCTGTTTCGGGGGCGGCAAAGAGGGGGTGATGACTATGGGGGGGGGGATATCATGGCGGGGGCCATGATGTTTCCCCAGATGTCA